GTGTGTGTGTGTGTGTGTGTGTGTGTGTGTGTGTGTGTGTGTGTGCGCGCGCGCGTGTCTGTGTGTGTCTCCCCTTCTCTCTTTACCTTCCCCCTCTGTCCCTTCCTCCTTCCTTTCATGCCTAATTATCTAGTAAAAATTTCAAATACTGTGTTGAATAGAAGTTGTAATTCAGTGTGATGGCTGATTTTCTGTATCTAATTGATTGGACCTTTGTGTGCCCAAGTATTTGGTTAAATATTATTCTGGATGTTTCTGTGAGAGTGTTTTCTAATGAAATTGACATTTAAATCAGTACATTAGTAAAGCAGATAGCCCTCCCTAGTGTGGGTGAGCTTCATGTAATCAGTTAAAGGACTGAATAAAACAAAAAGGCTAGCCTCACCCTGAGTAATACAGAATTCTTCCTGTCTGACTACCTTTGAAGTGAAACATTGGCTTTCTCCCCTATTTTCAGACTACAACTAAAACTAAAACTTAGCTGGTTCTCAGGCCTTCCAACTCAGACTTGAACTAAAACTTTGGATCTTCTGTGCCTCCAGCTGGCTGACTCAAATTGCAGATCTTGGAAATTTGTAGGTTTCTAATTGTGTACCAGTTTCCTATATTAAATCTCACATATATATATATATGTGCACACATGTATACATACACACACACACACACACGCACACACGCACACACGCACACACACACCCTATTCTGTGTCTCTGGAGAACTTTGACTCTGTGACTAATACGGTGAACATTTCTGTCCTGATCTTGGAGGAAAGCATTCAGTTTTCACTATAAAATCAGATGTTAACTGTGGGTTTTTGTAGAGGCCTTTTATTAAAGTGATGAAGTTTCTATTTGTAGTTTTTTCAGAGCTTTTGTCATGTTGGATATTGAATTTGTCAAGTGCCTTTTCTGCATCTTTTAATATGATTGTGTGATTTTTTGTCTTTTATTCTACTGCTATCTTATATTTTATTATAAACCAGCCTTGCATTCCTGAGATAAATCCCTCTTGTATGTTCTAGAAGTATTTGTGAAAAATTGGCATAAACTGTTACTTAAATGTTTTATAGAATTTGCCAGCTAAGCCAGGGCGGCCTCAAATGCCCTTGACTCAGATTTTACTGTCTATTCTTTATTTATTAATGAAGTGAATATTATCTTTCACACATTTTTCTTCTCTATGTGTAAGATATTTCTGTGTTGACTTTTGAATACTATACTTTTGACAGCTTGATGATTTATTGCTAACCTGTTTTAGAGACACTTACCAAAGACTCTGACAAACACAGAGGTAAATCTGATCCAATTTGGGGGGAGAAACAGATCCTCATCTCTTAATTAAAAGAAATAGATTTTTAACTCACTATAACTTTTCATTGAACTGATGAAAAGACCACAACTGAAAGAACTATGTAATAAAAACTCATTAAATATAAAGTGTAATGTATCTAATGGGCTAGCTATATGTCCTGCAGCTTATATTGAATAGCACTTCTGTGTGTGTATGCATGTGGTGTGTGTTTATATGATATCAACTGTAGCTAAATAAGACCACTGTAAATAGATTCTGTAAACTATTGAGTCTTGGACAGTATGCTTTAGTATGAATCCTATCTCTGCTACTTATCTGCTTTATGATCCTTTGCTAATTATTTGCCCTTTATATTTCAGGCTTATTACTTGTGAATTGAATTTCATACTACATTCTTACTATATATTAGGAAAATATATGTATAAGAACCATTCTTATGTGACAGATGTAACTGTTTTTGCTGAAGAAGAGCATGACAAGACAAATACTGTTAAACCACCATGAATGCTGTGAAAGCTATGCACTAGCTTTTATTTTAAAATGTTTATTTAGTTGTAAAATGTCAGTTTGATTCTTTTTAAACAGAATCCAGTATTCTGGTGCTACTTTTTTTCTTTTTCTGATTTTTTATTAAGATTATTTTTAAAAGTCTTTTTTTTTTCTGACTCAAATTTCTGGATCACATAGGTATTTGCTTATTTTAGTTATTGTTTTCTTCTTATTATCAGGCATTTGGTCCTGTATCTTCTTGTGTCTAGGAATTTTTGATTGAGTAATGGACATCCTATTTAGTGAGGGATGATAAGAGTAAATAAAATAATTTGTGATAATAGTAAATAAAAGTCTTTTAAAGTGCTGGGAATATATAAAAGAGTCAATAGTTAATGTCATTTTTTTTTGCTGTCAGTGTTCAGTAATCAACTGGAATTTGTACTTACGTCTGAGGCTTTTCATGGAAGCAGTGTGTATACTTTCAAAGAACTTAAAATTATTTTAAATAAAAGACAAAGGAAAATTAAATGCATTGTTTATATTATTAAGTGTATTCTATTAACTCCATTCTTAAAATGTATTTTAGAGCAGTTTTAGATTTATAGAAAAATTGTGACAGTAGCGCAGAGAGTTCCCATATACACACTGCTATATAATAATTACCCCTATTATTAACACCCTACATTAGTATGGTACATTTGTTGCAATTAATGAAACAATATTGATACATTATTATTAACTAAAGTCTGTAGTTTATTCAGATTTTCTTAATTTTTACATTTTTTTCTTCCAGGATATCATCAAAATTACCACAATACATTTATTTATCATGTGTCTTTAGGCTTCTCTTGACTATTAAAATTTGTCAGACTTTTGTTATTTTTAATGTACTTCATAGTTTTCAGGAGTACTGGTCAGATGCAATTCTTACTTTTGATTAGAGGAAAAATTTTCCCAGATATTCAGCTTATCATTTATTATTTCTTCAGGAAATAATGATATGGTGTTCCAATTTATGACCAAATTGTGTTCCAAAAATAATGAGAGCTCTGGCTGCTTTTAATTTAGTTAAGTGGAGGATAACCTGAGTACAACCTTTTTGTTGTTGTTTTAACTTTTAGGTTGTGGGTCTGTTCAAACAATGCTATCTTACTTACATTTGTTAAAAAATGAAACAATTTGTGACAAGATATAGTTAGATGACTTGTAAATGAAAACTATTTACAGAACATTTATATTTTAAACTTCAGTTTTCTAAAGTTGGTAGTTATTCATTTATCAATATACTATGCATTGACTCTTACTATGTGTCACATTTTCTGCTAAGTTTTAATTGATGGTTCCTGATAGTAATATTGAAACCTATGCATCTTATACACATCATTATCTTCAATCTAATTACCTAGTGGACAAAATAATATGTTTGTCATAATTTGGATGTTTAAAGTATATTTTTATGTAGTAAAATTTTATTTTGTATTAATTTTGCAGAACTATTACGGAGCTGCTAAGATGATTTTTTCTGACAACCCACTTGGTCTGACTTGTGGAATGGTATGTCCAACATCTGATCTTTGTGTAGGTGGATGCAATTTACATGCCACTGAAGAGGGACCCATTAATATTGGTGGATTGCAGCAATTTGCTACTGAGGTATGTATTATATACACATTGCTTCCCCACACTACCAACACCATGCACAAGTACTTTAAATTAACTTTAGTCCTTGATGCTCTGTTGATACCCAACATTTTTAGTGTGACACACAGCTCAAGTATGTTTTGTACAACAAAGTTTATTTTTATTCAGCAGCTTGGCTAGAAAAATGAAGTTTCTAAAACTAAAACTGTATGTCAAATTAGTTGCAATCCCAGCAGGTTATTAAAATACTTGGAGTGAAATTATATAAATTAGATGATCTGAAAATAGAACTTATTCATTAACTTTATATTGACGTATGGCAAGGAGACCCTCTGATGAAAAGGCTATATTCCTTAACAAATTCCTTTCCCTGAAACTCTCTTTAATCTTTAAAGCTTGAAATACAGCGTATTTTGTTATATTCTTTGAGTAATAAAGGTTAGAGAAATTTCAAAAACCCTGAAACTGAGTAATGCTATTTAACAACATTAAGAGTGTCATTAAATATGGTGAACTTATAGTTTGGAATCAGGTCTGTTATTTGGATGAAAAATACATAATGAAATAAAATGGAAACACTTTTTACTATTTATCCCATAGACTTTGATCCTGGCTTTCTCTTTAATGAATCATTTGTAAAGGACTCTGGTTCTCCAGACACTCTTGGTCTCTCTGAGGTCTCCTATTTGCAGTCAACAAGCAGGTTAATCCCCATGTATCATTTAAATGATCAGCTTATATGAAGGAGATACAGTAAGATTTTATAATATTTGGGGACTAGTTGTCTAGAAGGTCAAATTAAACGCCTGCCAACACTAGATTTTCAGTTAATGATTTACTGATCTGGTTTTGTCAATGTAAACACACGTGTTCTTTCATTCTAGGACCCTTCCCACAATATTCCTCAAGCTTAAGTCTCACTTTGCTTTTAGTAATAAATCAGGGTTATTCCCTTCCTGCTTTCTGACAAGTTAATTCTAAAGAAGAGCTCCTGGGAATAAGGAAAGAGAAACAATTTGAGGTTGTGAATTGTTGCAATAAATTCTGGGATTTAATTTCTTTTCTTACCAAATTCAGAATTGCATTAGGCTTACCTGACCAGTACAAAGTATGATCTTTACAACCCGTGAAAATCCTTAGTTGATGGAGAAGATTCACTTGAATTCCTCCTCATCTTTCTTTGGGGACCCATTGGCTCTTCATTAAACTGGGGCAAGCTTTCACAGAATGCAGTAAGTGAAAGATCACATACTATGTATATCAACTAACACAACATTTTAAAACAAATGAATTAAAATGATATTATTAGTTTGTCAGTGATCTGATGAGGTGTGTGTGTATGTTTGTGTGTGTGTGTGTGAGAGAGACAGAGAGAGAGAAAGAGAGAGAGCGAGACAGAGAGGGAGAAAGGGAGAGAGAGAGAGAAACACATAATTTCTCTGGAGACTCTCACATGGTTTTAGTTCTATTCTCTGGGAACACTATCCATCTGGGAACTCTTACTTGGTTCTACCACTCATTCCCAGAGCAGAGTCTGTTTAAGACAGGGCATCACATGTGCTCTCAGTACAGAAATCATTAGAAACTCACTAAAATTTGAAAGTGGTCACACTTAGGTCTTGCTATAAGTATCACCTAATGAAGAGTTATGCATAGATTAGGACTGCAATAAATGCATTTTAATGAATCAAGGATATAGAATGGGAATATATCTGCCTATTCCATTCCTATTATACTTTATATAAGTATGATTTCAATATCAAATTACGAATAAAAAATGTCCCTGTGCGAACTACTTAGAAAAGCTTTTTGTCTTTTTTGGGGGAGTTGGCTGTTTAGGGTACCTGGTTGTAGAAAATCCTGTATTCCCTAGGTCAGTGTGTGGTTTGCTTCAGTTTATCCAACTATCAAAGTTATTAGGAAGATTAAAAAAAATGAGTAACTTCTTTTTCACTGATATTCAAGGAAAAAAAGTGTAAGTGCAAAATGTTACTGTTCTTCAAATTACTAAACTATTGACATGAGTATTTAAGTTGAAGTGTAACGTGATGCAAATAATTTTATGTTTTGATTGTTTGATAAAACAATGATTGATTTTTGACCTTTAGAGAAATACAAACCTATTTTTTCAACTAAATTAAGCAAAGGTTAGGAAAGAAGATTAAAATAGTATGGTATTTTTCAAAATTGTTTTTCCTGTGAATTATAAGCGATTTTTAAAAAATATCAACTCAGTAGTCTGCCATTATTGGTTAGGTACATACATTATTCTTCTCCATTTGAACATGAACATGTGATTTGGAAAGACCATAGTGGAAAAGAAATAAATCACATGATGCATAGCCTGCTGTAGAATCAGGAGGCCAGCTGCTGCTTTTTTTTTTTTTTTTTTTTTTGGCAAAGTTGGGGTGGGTACTGTGTTATCATTACTATTCATCCTTTTGCCGTTTCCACATTTGCAGTGTGAAGAAGTGACCTTGCTTCACACACTGGTATGTTCATGCAATAAACAGGCTACAAGGTTGACTGTGACTCACTCTAGAAGGCATTTTTTCCCCTACTAATATTATAATTCTATCATAACATTGTTTCAGTAGAATAACTTGGAAATAATAGTTTAATATCAATTTTATCTCTCATGATAGTTTTAAAATTTCTCTGTACAAATATAACTCTTGAAAATTTAGTTTTAAAAATTATTTGTGTGTTTATTGGAATTTTTAAAGAAACATATATAGATTACAATTAATAGACCACCTGGACTCTCATTGCTTCTGAAATTTAATTAATGAATTGTTGCAAAAGGAGAAAGAAATGAGAATGCATCTTTCTACCCATTGCCTAAAATTTGAAAAAAAAAATGATTTTATGTGGAAAATTAGCTGCAGGTCAAATCAGTTCTCTTCTACTAAGTAAAAAGTTATGGAGGCAATTTAGAAATGTTAAAATTAAAATTCCAATCTTCCAAAATTTGACTGTGTGTCAAAATGAATTAGAGCTGGAAAATTTATAATTAAAATTACCACCTCAATTTTGAATTTTTGGGAATATACTGGATTATGATATTGGTATCTAAATATAGAATTTATTTTACCAAACCATTTTCAAAGATTTTTCTAATACATGTGAAATATACCATTTTATGATATATACCTCTTAGCAATTTACTTTTATTTAGATTTTATACTTTTATATTACTAATATCCAGAATCTACAAGAAACTCAAACAGATCAGCAAGAAAAAAACTTCCACCAAAAAGTAGGCTAAGGACACAGATAGACAGTTCTTAAAAGAAGATAGACAGATGACCGCCAAAAATGTGAAAAAATTCTCAACATCACTAAACATCACAGAAATGCAAATCAAAACTAGAATGTAATACCACCTTACTCCTGCAAGAGCAGTTCATAATTTAAAAATCAATAAATAATAGATTTTGGTGTGGATGTGGTGAAAATGGAACACTTCTACCCTGCTGGTGGGAATGTAAACTATTACAACCACTATGGAAAACAGTGTGGAGATTTATTAAAGAACTAAAAGTTGATCTACCATTTGATCTAGCAATCCCACTACTGGTATCTACCCAGAGGAAAAGAAGTTATTATATAAAAAAGACACTTGAACACACATGTTTATAGCAGCACAATTTGCAATTGCAACAATATGGAACACTCCGAAATACACATCAGTCCATCAGTCAATGAGTGGATAGTGAAAATGTGTGTAAACGCACACACACGCACACACACACACACACACACACACACACACACACAGCATACATACCATGGAATACTACTCAGCCATAAAAAGGATCAAAATAATGGCGTTTGCCACAAGCTGGATGGTGTTTGAGACCATTTTTCTAAGTATAGTAACTCGAGAATGGAAAACCAAACATTGCATGTTCTCACTCATAAGTAGAAGCTAAAGTGTGAGGACACAGAACATAAGAATGATGCAGTAGGCTTCATGGACTTGGGGGAAGGGGAATGGTGATGGGAGGATGAGGGATAAGAGACTACACATTGGATACAGTGTACACTATTTGTGTGATGGGTGCACCAATATCTCAGAAATCACTACTGAAGAACTTATCAATCTGACAAAAAAATCACCTGTTCCCCAAAACTATTGAAATATTAAAAAATGAAAGAAATTTCTGTTGTTTTAAGCCAAAAAAGAGAATGAAACTGACATGCAATTCTAGATGAAATCAGGTGACTCATTCAGTAAAGAGTTATCTTTAGATTTTTCTTTGTTTTTAAAAATATGTTATTTTTTTTTTAATTTTACTTTAAGTTTTGTCTCTCAGCAGGTTTCTAAACTATCACCTCTCATTTGACTTATTTCTTGTTGTATCAGTATATACTATTTGTCGTAATGCAATAATTATTTTGAAATATACAATAAATGATTATAGTTACACTCTTGTGCTACTGAACAGTAGATCTTGTTCTATCTAACTGTATTTTTGTACCCATTAACTATTTGGAATTGAATTGGATTTTTCATTAACACTAAAAAATGACAAATGCTTGAGGTGTTGGATATCCCACTTACCCTGACTTGATCATTACACATTGCATGTGTCTATCAAAATATCATGTGTACACCATACACTATTTACAACATGTATATGAATAATATATATTCATCATATTTATGCAACTAATATGTATTTATTATAATGAAAAATTTAAAAATTGAAGATTTTTTATATAATTGATAAAATGTATTTTGTTTTATTTGCTTCAGATTGAACATATATTACAGATAAAACTTTAAAGTCCATCATATTCCCTTCTCAAATCAAGCACTCTGATTAATTGATGAATCTGGCCTATGTTTTATATTTTCTAAGAAATAGTTGTATAAATAATGTGTAATTCTCAAATGAGCGTTGAAATTTAGAAACTTTCTCATCTGTTTATTTGGCTATCCATCTTCCTCATCTTTTAAAAACATATTCTTTGCACATTATGTAGTATATGTTGTGATGTAATAC